TAAATTAAAGCTTGAAGATTCTAGTTTATGATATGATATGAAAATTGTAATATGATATTATTAAAAATTTGAGGAAAAAATTATTGAAGAAGAAATTGTCAAATTTATAAATAAAAGAGAAATTTTTATTAATTTATTAATTATTATTATTATTAATTTTTATATCATATCATAAATTAGAATCTTTAAGCTACAATTTAACATATATATCATATCATAATTCTTAAAAATACAGATGATATGATTTTTTGAAAATTGCTTATATTTGATTCATAAATTTGACAGTTTCATCTTTAATAAGCTTTTCCAGGAAATTTTAATAATATTAGTTCATAATTTTTATATCATATCATAAACTAGAATCTTTAAGCTACAATTTAACATATATATCATATCATAATTCTTAAAAATACAGATGATATGATGTTTTGAAACTTTCGTATATTTGATTCATAAATGTGACAGTTTCATCTTTAATAAATTTTTCCAGGAAATTTCAATAATATTATCTTATAATTTTTATATCACATCATAAACTAGAATCTTCAAGTTTTAGTTTAACATATATTTCATATCATTACATATAAAAATATAGAAAATATAATTTATTGAAAATTAATTTATAAATTTTACATAAATAATTTTTTTCTAAAAATTTCATATATATCATATTACAATTTTCATATCATATCATAAACTAGAATCTTGAAGCTTTAATTCAACATATATTTCATATCATTATACATAAAAATATAGAAAATATGATTTTTTGAAAATTTCTCTTTTATTTATAAATTTGACAATTTCTTCTTCAACAAATTTTTCCTGAAAATTTCAATAATATTATATTACAATTTTCATATCATATCATAAACTACAATCTTTAAGCTTCAATTTAAGATACAAATCATATCATAATTCTTAAAAATGCAGATGATAAGATTTTTTGAAAATTTCATATAATTTTTGATTCATAAATTTGACAGTTTCCTCTTTAATATTTTTTTTTTCAAAATTTTAATAATATTATCTTATAACTTTTATATCATATCATATACTAGAATGTTTAAGCTACAATTTAACATATCTATTATATCATGATTCTTAGAAATACAGATGATATGATTCTTTGAAAATTTTATATAATTTTTGATTCATAAATTTGACAGTTTCCTTTTTAATAATTTTTTTTTCAAAATTTTAATAATATCATCTTATAATTTTTATATCACATCATAAACTACAATCTTTAAGCTTTAATTTAACATACAAATCATATCATAATTCTAAAAAATGCAGATGATATGATTTTTTGATAATTTCGTATAATTTTTGATTCATAAATTTGACAGTTTCCTCTTTAATAATTTTTTTTTCAAAATTTTAATAATATCATCTTATAACTTTTATATCATATCATAAACTACAATCTTTAAGCTTCAATTTAGCATATATTTCATATCATTATACATAAAAATATAGAAAATATGATTTTTTGGAAATTTCTTTTATTTATAAATTTGACAATTTCTTCTTCAATAATTTTTTCCTCAAATTTTTAATAATATCATATCACAATTTTTACATCATATCATAAACTAGAATTTTTAAGCTACAATTTAGCATATATATCATATCATAATTCTTAAAAATACGGATGATATGATTTGAGGTAGATAACCAACACTTTTTGCCAAAAAATTATTCAAATAAACAATAAAAAAACCTACTTGGTGTTTAATTTTGCACTCAACAATCTTGGCATCATCACTATATCTTGCACTCTTTCTCAAAAATGAGGATCAATCATTAACTAACCACGTTATTTGAATCAAATCTAACCCTTTTTTTTTTAGAAAAAAATTACATCAAAATTGAATCCCTCTTTATCTTTCTCATCAACATAAAAGCCAGACGAAACAAAATTAAATCAAAATTTTCGATATATCGAACTCGGATCAATAAAACAATGACTTACCTGCCGAAGATCTCCTTCAGTTCGTGTTCAGACACGAATTGGCCCAAATTGGCGACGAAAAGCGTCGAGCAGGGCGGATTACTCATCCCCAAACCTGGCTGGGATGAACTCGAACCCACAGGCGATGCTAAAGCAGGACTCGGCAGGAAATGCGGCAAAGAAGCCGCATGGACCGATGTTAAAGCCGTTGGGTGTGGTAACGACATTGGTGGCTATAAAACACAACAAAAAGAAGTTAAAATCAACGATGGTTAAGCGAAGTTAAATAACGATGGGGAAAAAGAACTAAAAGAAAAAAGGATTGAAAGACTAACGTGGTGATGGACCGGAGCGCCTGCTTGTTGCAGCTGTGGGTCCAAAGTTTTGTCTGTAGATAGTCAAAGATAGGAACGTACGGGCACTTGAGGGTGTAGTGCCGGATGGACGAGGGTTGCATGTTGAAGGGCTGCCCCAGGGAGTTCTGCAGCCGCTGCGGAATAAGCCAATGGATGGTGCCATATTTCCGGTCCTCCTGGGAAGAATGGTGCTCCCAAATCTACATCGAACAGTAACTCATTACCTTTGCACCACAAAAAAATAACCAAATTAATCCCCCAGCAGAGACACCAACAAATTTTTACCAAATTATTACCATATATACCAATATGATCACTAGGGCACGGAACTTTTGTAACAAAACGATTTCCCCCCTCCACTAAACCGATTCTCTCAATAAAAAAAATATATATAAAAAATTTTTTTTGAAATAATTGATCAAATCAAAAATTTTTTTATATAAAATTTTTAAACAACATACAGATTTCGAAAGAAGACATCTTCAGCTTCAGTTTGAGCCATAAATCGCTTCTTCATTATCATAAATAAAAAAGTTATGATTTTTTTAAAATTAACTATTTTAATAAAATTATCTAAAAAAGCTTTTTTCTCAAAATTTTTTTATATAAAATTTTTAAACAACATACAGATTTCGAAAGAAGACATCTTCAGCTTCAATTTGAGCCATAAATCGCTTCTTCATTATCATAAATAAAAAAGTTATGATTTTTTGAAAATTAACTATTTTAATAAAATTATCTAAAAAAGCTTTTTTCTCAAAATTTTTTTATATAAAATTTTTAAACAACATACAGATTTCGAAAGAAGACATCTTCAGCTTCAATTTGAGCCATAAATCGCTTCTTCATTATCATAAATAAAAAAGTTATGATTTTTTGAAAATTAACTATTTTAATAAAATTATCTAAAAAAGCTTTTTTCTCAAAATTTTTTTATATAAAATTTTTAAACAACATACAGATTTCGAAAGAAGACATCTTCAGCTTCAATTTGAGCCATAAATCGCTTCTTCATTATCATAAATAAAAAAGTTATGATTTTTTGAAAATTAACTATTTTAATAAAATTATCTAAAAAAGCTTTTTTCTCAAAATTTTTTTATATAAAATTTTTAAACAACATACCGATTTCGAAAGAAGACATCTTCAGCTTCAATTTGAGCCATAAATCGCTTCTTCATTATCATAAATAAAAAAGTTATGATTTTTTGAAAATTAACTATTTTAATAAAATTATCTAAAAAAGCTTTTTTCTCAAAATTTTTTTATATAAAATTTTTAAACAACATACAGATTTCGAAAGAAGACATCTTCAGCTTCAATTTGAGCCATAAATCGCTTCTTCATTATCATAAATAAAAAAGTTATGATTTTTTGAAAATTAACTATTTTAATAAAATTATCTAAAAAAGCTTTTTTCTCAAAATTTTTTTATATAAAATTTTTAAACAACATACAGATTTCGAAAGAAGACATCTTCAGCTTCAATTTGAGCCATAAATCGCTTCTTCATTATCATAAATAAAAAAGTTATGATTTTTTGAAAATTAACTATTTTAATAAAATTATCTAAAAAAGCTTTTTTCTAAAAATTTTTTTATATAAAATTTTGAAACAACATACGGATTTCGAAAGAAGATATCTTCAGCTTCAATTTGAGCCATAAATCGCTTCTTCATTATCATAAATAAGAAAGTTATGATTTTTTTAAAATTAACTATTTTAATAAAATTATCTAAAAAAGCTTTTTTCTAAAAATTTTTTTATATAAAATTTTTAAACAACATACAAATTTCGAAATGTAACATCTTCAGCTTCAATTTGAGCCATAAATCGCTTCTTTATCATCATAAATAAAAAAGTTATGATTTTTTTAAAATTAACTATTTTAATAAAATTATCTAAGAAAGCATTTTTCTCAAAATTTTTTTATATAAAATTTTTAAGCAACGCACAGATTTCGAAAGAAGATATCTTCAGCTTTAATTTGAGACATAAATTATTTCTTCATTATCATAAATAAAAAAGTTATGATTTTTTGAAAAATTTTTTTTTCAACCTAATATAATCATCTAAGAAAGCTATTTTCTCAAAAATTTTTTATATAAAATTTTTAAACAACATTCGGACTTCGAAAGAAGACATCTTCAGCTTCAATTTGAGCCATAAGTCGCTTCTTCGTTATCATAAATAAAAAAGTTATGATTTTTTCAAAATTTACCGTTTTTTTTTCAATCTAATCTAATTATCCAAGAAACTATAACTGATAGGTGGAGGGACGTTTAGAGAAGATTTGTAGAGAATTAAATTCTCTATCTGATGGGCTAATGAGATATGACGTCATCATTGCCGGTATGCAACTAATGTCGCACTTTGCGTGTTGCTATACCAGTACTGTGGTGTTGGTTGCATAAATGTCGCATAAACGGCNGGATGATATGATTTGAGGTAGATAACCAACACTTTTTGCCAAAAAATTATTCAAATAAACAATAAAAAAACCTACTTGGTGTTTAATTTTGCACTCAACAATCTTGGCATCATCACTATATCTTGCACTCTTTCTCAAAAATGAGGATCAATCATTAACTAACCACGTTATTTGAATCAAATCTAACCCTTTTTTTTTTAGAAAAAAATTACATCAAAATTGAATCCCTCTTTATCTTTCTCATCAACATAAAAGCCAGACGAAACAAAATTAAATCAAAATTTTCGATATATCGAACTCGGATCAATAAAACAATGACTTACCTGCCGAAGATCTCCTTCAGTTCGTGTTCAGACACGAATTGGCCCAAATTGGCGACGAAAAGCGTCGAGCAGGGCGGATTACTCATCCCCAAACCTGGCTGGGATGAACTCGAACCCACAGGCGATGCTAAAGCAGGACTCGGCAGGAAATGCGGCAAAGAAGCCGCATGGACCGATGTTAAAGCCGTTGGGTGTGGTAACGACATTGGTGGCTATAAAACACAACAAAAAGAAGTTAAAATCAACGATGGTTAAGCGAAGTTAAATAACGATGGGGAAAAAGAACTAAAAGAAAAAAGGATTGAAAGACTAACGTGGTGATGGACCGGAGCGCCTGCTTGTTGCAGCTGTGGGTCCAAAGTTTTGTCTGTAGATAGTCAAAGATAGGAACGTACGGGCACTTGAGGGTGTAGTGCCGGATGGACGAGGGTTGCATGTTGAAGGGCTGCCCCAGGGAGTTCTGCAGCCGCTGCGGAATAAGCCAATGGATGGTGCCATATTTCCGGTCCTCCTGGGAAGAATGGTGCTCCCAAATCTACATCGAACAGTAACTCATTACCTTTGCACCACAAAAAAATAACCAAATTAATCCCCCAGCAGAGACACCAACAAATTTTTACCAAATTATTACCATATATACCAATATGATCACTAAGGCACGGAACTTTTGTAACAAAACGATTTCCCCCCTCCACTAAACCGATTCTCACAATAAAAAAAATATATATAAAAAATTTTTTTTGAAATAATTGATCAAATCAAAAATTTTTTTATATAAAATTTTTAAACAACATACAGATTTCGAAAGAAGACATCTTCAGCTTCAATTTGAGACATAAATCGCTTCTTCGTTATCATAAATAAAAAAGTTATGATTTTTTGAAAATTTACTATTTTAATAAAATTATTTAAAAAAGCTTTTTTCTCAAAATTTTTTTATATAAAATTTTTAAACAACATACAGATTTCGATAAAAGACATCTTCAGCTTTAATTTGAGTCATAAATCGCTTCTTTATCATCATAAATAAAAAAGTTAAGATTTTTTCAAAATTAACTATTTTAATAAAATTATCTAAAAAAGGTTTTTTCTCAAAACTTTGTTATATAAAATTTTTAAACAACATACGGACTTCGACAGAAGACATCTTCAGCTTCAATTTGAGCCATAAACCGCTTCCTCATTATCATAAATAAAAAAGTGATGATTTTTTGAAAATTTACTGTTTTAATAAAATTATCTAAGAAAGCTTTTTTCTCAAAATTTTTTTATATAAAATTTTTATACTACATACGGACTTCGAAAGAAGACATCTTCAGCTTCAATTTGAGCCATAAATCGTTTCTTCATTACCATAAATAAAAAAGTTATGATTTTTTTAAAATTAACTATTTTAATAAAATTATCTAAAAAAGCTTTTTTCTCAAAATTTTTTTATATAAAATTTTTAAACAACGCACAGATTTCGAAAGAAGACATCTTCATCTTCAATTTGAGACATAAATTGTTTCTTCATTATCATAAATAAAAAAGTTATGATTTTTTTTAAATTAACTATTTTAATAAAATTATCTAAGAAAGCGTTTTTCTCAAAATTTTTTTATATAAAATTTTTAAACTACATACAGATTTCGAAAGAACACATCTTCAGCTTCAATTTGAGCCATAAATCGCTTCTTCATTATCATAAATAAAAAAGTTATGATTTTTTGAAAATTAACTATTTTAATAAAATTATCTAAGAAAGCTTTTTTCTAAAAATTTTTTTATATAAAATTTTGAAACAACATACGGATTTCGAAAGAAGACATCTTCAGCTTCAATTAGAGCCATAAATCGCTTCTTCATTATCATAAATAAAAAAGTTATGATTTTTTAAAATTAACTATTTTAATAAAATTAACTAAAAAAGCTTTTTTCTCAAAATTTTTTATATAAAATTTTTAAACAACATACAGATTTCGAAACAAGACATCTTCAGCTTTAATTTGAGCCATAGATCGCTTCTTCATTATCATAAATAAAAAAGTTATGATTTTTTGAAAATTAACTATTTTAATAAAATTTTCTAAGAAAGCTTTTTTCTTAAAATTTTTTTATACAAAATTTTTAAACAACATACAGATTTCGAAAGAAGACATCTTCAGCTTCAATTTGAGACATAAATTGTTTCTTCATTATCATAAATAAAAAAGTTATGATTTTTTCAAAATTAACTATTTTAACAAAATTATCTAAGAAAGCGTTTTTCTCAAAATTTTTTTATATAAAATTTTTAAACAACGCACAGATTTCGAAAGAAGACATCTTCATCTTCAATTTGAGACATAAATTGTTTCTTCATTATCATAAATAAAAAAGTTATGATTTTTTCAAAATTTACCGTTTTTTTTCAATCTAATCTAATTATCTAAGAAACCACAACTGATAGATGTAGGGACGTTTAGAGAAGATTTGTAGAGAATTAAATTCTCTATTTGATGGGCTAATCAGATATGACGTCATCATTGCCGGTATGCAACCAATGTAGCACTTTGCGTGTTGCTATACCAGTACTGTGGTGTTGGTTGCATAAATGTTGCATAAACGGCTAAAAATATGAAGAAATGATCTTATGGCGTGTTTAATATCAGGCAAAATTTGTTGTTATCGTCTCCCGGGGTTAAAACAACCAGCAAAATCATCTAACTAGTTATAATCTACTTAAAAGGAGGGGTTAATTAATTTCTTTTTTGATTGGGATGAAAGCATTTTGTTGTTGGTGTGAGATTCTTTGGGACGTGTGTGTACTTACGTCCTGTGAGGGGGTGCATCAGAGTTGGGTGCGTGTTGGCTGCGTTAGCGGCTTGCTGTTTGGGCTTGCTAACCTTCGTGTTACTTTTAGCAAACTCCAGCCGGATCGTCTGAGGCATGTCGGGGTCAAACCTTACGCCCTGCTGCAAAAGTTGGCCACAAAAACAAGAAAAAAAACCAGAGTGATCGTGTATTATAGACGGGTTGGGTTATTTTTTTGTTTATTAATAACTTTTTTGTCTTTTGGCAGTTAAAAATTGGATCAAATTGAGTCAACAGCAAAGTGACACACTTTGGGGTGCTTTGTGCACGTGGATTTATACTCAAATAGATGATTTAAGGGTAGGACTATGTTACAAGGGGTTAAATTTACAAAATAAAGTTGTTGATTTTGATTCAAAGTTTTTGGGTTGAGATAAAAATGATTTAGACAAATTTTAAACCCACCTGGAGATCTTGCTTAGCTGCTTCTGCACCAGCCCTTGTATTAAAAGTAACGAAACCAACAGGCTGCGAAAAAATCCGTCAGATTAATTAATCCCAAAATTTTTTGATACTCACAGAAGCAGTTTTTCCATTTTTACTCGTCACTTTTAACAAAGATCCTTCATATCCCTTTAATTCGATAAAAAAAAAATTAAATCAATAAACCCCCTCAAATTACAAAGAAAAACTTACCTCATATGCTCTGAATAAAAGATATAACTCCCTTGGTTTCGCATCCATTGGTAAGCCACTTACGAAAAGAGTCCGAACCTGGAAGTTAATAACAAAGAATTAATACGTGGGTTTCGCAGCGAGGTAATAAAACACGAACGTGGAGAACGGAGTAAACAAAAGCATTAAATTCCAAGCATTAAACCCATAAAGGAAACTTTACACTTACACTTACTATTAGCTAATGGTAACATTTGGGAATCGGAGAGTGTTATCAAAAAACTTTTAGAACAAAAGTTGTAGCAAATTTTGTTCTTAACAATATTGCTCTCTTGTATTTTTGCTCTCAGATGCGTCAATATTGAGAAAAATACGAAAATTTGAAAATTGGATGAATTTCCTTGTTCTACTATTAGCTAATGGTAAAATTTGGGAATCGGAGAATGTTATCAAAAAACTTTTAGAACAAAAATTGTAGCAAACTTTGTTATTAACAATATTGCTCTCTTGTATTTTTGCTCTCAGATGCGTCAATATCGATAAAAATGCGAAAATTTGATGGATTTGTTGCTTTTTTAAGAGGATGTAACAATCGGGAATTGAAGCATGGTATACAAAATTTTTTAGAACAAAAGATGTTGCAAATTTTGTTATAAACAATATTGCTCTCTTGTATTTTTGCTCTCAGATGCGTCAATATTGAGAAAAATACGAAAATTTAAAAATTGGATAAATTTTCTTGCTTTACTATTAGCTAATGGTAACATTTGGGAATCGGAGAATGTTATCAAAAAACTTTTAGAACAAAAGTTGTAGCAAATTTTATTCTTAACAATATTGCTCTCTTGTATTTTTGCTCTCAGATGCGTCAATACTAAGAAAAATACGAAAATTTGAAAATTGGATGAATTTTCTTGTTCTACTATTAGCTAATGGTAACATTTGGGAATCGGAGAATGTTATCAAAAAACTTTTAGAACAAAAGGTGTAGCAAATTTTATTCTTAACAACATTGCTCTCTTGCATTTTTGCTCTCAGATGCGTCAATATCGAGAAAAATGCGAAAATTTTATGAATTTGTAGCTTTTTTAAGAGGATCTAACAATCGGGAATTGAAGCATGGTATAAAAAAAATTTTATTACAACAGTTGTTTCAAATTTTGTTATAAACAATATTGCTCTCTTGTATTTTTGCTCTCAGATACGTCAATATTGAGAAAAATACGAAAATTTAAAAATTGAATGAATATTCTTGTTTTACTATTAGCTAATGGTAACATTTGGGAATCGGAGAATGTTATCAAAAAACTTTTAGAACAAAAGTTGTAGCAAATTTTATTCTTAACAACATTGCTCTCTTGTATTTTTGCTCTCAGATGCGTCAATATCGAGAAAAATGCTAAAATTTGATGAATTTGTTGCTGTTTTAAGAGGATGTAACAATCGGGAATTGAAGCATGCTATAAAAAAATTTTTAGAACAAAAGATGTTGCAAATATTGTTATAAACAATATTGCTCTCTTATATTTTTGCTCTCAGATGCGTCGATATTGAGAAAAATACGAAAAGTTGAAAATTTGATGAATTTTCTTGTTTTACTATTAGCTAATGGTAACATTTGGGAATCGGAGAATGTTATCAAAAAACTTTTAGAACAAAAGTAGCAAATTTTGTTATTAACAATGTTGCTCTCTTGTATTTTTGCTCTCAGATGGGTCGATATTGAGAAAAATACGAAAATTTAAAAATTGGATGAATTTTCTTGTTTTACTATTAGCTAATGGTAACATTTGGGAATCGGAGAATGTTATCAAAAAACTTTTAGAACAAAAGGTGTAGCAAATTTTATTCTTAACAACATTGCTCTCTTGTATTTTTGCTCTCAGATACGTCAATATTGAGAAAAATACGAAAATTTAAAAATTGAATGAATATTCTTGTTTTACTATTAGCTAATGGTAGCATTTGGAAAGCGGAGAATGTTATCAAAAAACTTTTAGAACCAAAGTTGTTGCAAATTTTGTTATTAACAATATTGCTCTCTTCTATTTTTGCTCTTAGATGCGTCAATATCGAGAAAAATACGAAAATTTAAAAATTGGATGAATGTTCTTGATTTACTATTACCTAATGGTAAAATTTGGGAATAGGAGAATGTTATCAAAAAACTTCTAGAACCAAAGTTGTTGCAAATTTTGTTATTAACAATATTGCTCTGTTGTATATTGGCTCTTAGATACGTCAATATCGAGAAAAATACGAAAATATGAAAATTGGATGAATTTATTGCATAATGATAACATTTTGGAAACGAGGCATATTACATAAAAACTTTTGAAACAATAGTTATAGCAAATTTTATTCTTAACAATATTGCTCTCTTTCATTTTTGCTCTCAGATGCGTCAATATCGAGAAAAATACGAAAATATGAAAATTGGATGAATTTATTGCATTTATTGCATAGTGGTAACATTTTGGAAACGAAGCATATTACAAAAAAACTTTTGAAATAATAGTTATAGCAAATTTTATTCTTAACAATATTGCTCTCTTTCATTTTTGCTCTCAGATGCGTCAATATCGAGAAAAATACGAAAATATGAAAATTGGATGAATTTATTGCATTTATTGCATAGTGGTAACATTTTGGAAACGAAGCATATTACAAAAAAACTTTTCAAATAACAGTTATAGCAAATTTTATTCTTAACAATATTCCTCTCTTTCATTTTTGCTCTCAGATGCGTCAATATCGAGAAAAATACGAAAATATGAAAATAGGATAATGTTATTGCATTTATTCCATAATGATAACATTTGGGAAACGGAGCATATTACATAAAAACTTTTGAAACAATAGTTATAGCAAATTTTATTCTTAACAATATTGCTCTGTTTCATTTTTGCTCTCCGACGCGTCAATATCCAGAAAAATACGAAAATATGAAAATTGGATAAATTTATTGCATTTATTACATAATGGTAACATTTTGGAAACGAAGCATATTACAAAAAAACTTTTCAAATAATAGTTATAGCAAATTTTATTCTTAACAATATTGCTCTCTTTCATTTTTGCTCTCAAATGCGTCAAAACCGAGAAAAATACGAAAATATGAAAATTTTATGAATTTTTTTTGTTTTACTAGTGTTAATAGTGTTAGGGATATTTTGTGTGCGGGAGATTTTGGATTGGTAGTGCGAAGCGTGGGGTGGCAATGGAGCGATTCCCTCGTTCGAAAATGTTGCGGTATGTCAGAAAAACCAACAGGTTTGAACAAGATCGAGAGAGTCGAACACGAGAGTTGGTGCGTGGCGGATGTAGCAAACGGGTGAATCTCGAATAAAAGGGAAAAAACGAACTAAACGGACGTGTTTTTGAGAAAATGCAAACATTGAAACTAAATTACATCAATATTTTGTTGAAGATTCAATAAAGTTGTTATTTTAGATAAATTTACGTGAGTGTATTTACTTTACTGGTAATATTTGGAAATCGGAGTATGTTATCAAAAAACTTTTAGAACAAAAGTTGTAGCAAATTTTGTTATAAACAATATTGCTTTCTTGTATTTTTGCTCTCAGATGCGTCAATATTGAGAAAAATACGAAAATTTAAAAATTGGATGAATTTCCTTGATTTACTATCAGCTAATGGTAGCATTCGGTAATTCGAAGCACCTTACAAAAATACTTTTAGAACAAAAGTTGTAGCAAATTTCATTCTTAACAATATTGCTCTCTTGTATATTTGCTCTCAGATTCGTCAATATTGAGAAAAATATGAAAATTTGACGATTTTTTTTCTTTTACTAGTGTTAATGATAACATTTGGGAATCGGAGCATGTTATCAAAAAACTTTTTGAACAAAAGTTGTAGCAAACTTTGTTCTGAGGAATATTGCTCTTATATATTTTTGCTCTCAGATATATCAATATCGAGAAAAATACAAAAATATGAAAATTTGATGAATTTGTTGCTTTTCCAAGTGGATGTAGCAATCAGGAATCGAGGCATTTTATAAAAAAAATTTTAGGACAAAAGTTGTTGCAAATTTTGTTATTAACAATATTGCTCTCTTGTATTTTTGCTCTCAGATGCGTTTATATTGAGAAAAATACGAAAATTTAAAAATTGAATGAATTTTCTTGTTTTACTATTAGCTAATGGTAACATTTGGGAATTGGAGAATGTTATCAAAAAACTTTTAGAATAAAAGTTGTTGCAAATTTTGTTATTAACAATATTGCTCTCTTGTATTTTTGCTCTCAGATGCGTCAATATTGAGAAAAATATGAAAATTTGAAAATTTGATGAATTTCCTCGATTTATAATTAGCTAATGGTAACATTCGGGAATCGGAGAATGTTATCAAAAAACTTTTGGAACAATAGTTGTAGCAAATTTTATTCTTAACAATATTGCTCTCTTGTATTTTTGCTTTTAGATACGTCAATATCGAGAAAAATACGAAAATATGAAAATTTGTTGCTTTTTCAAGAAGATGTAACAATCGGGAATCGAGGCATGTTATAAAAAAATTTTTAGAACAAAAGCTGTAGCAAATTTTGTTGTTAACAATATTGCTCTCTTGAATTTTTGCTCTCAGATGCGTCAATATTGAGAAAAATACAAGAATTAAAAAATTTGATGAACTTCCTTGATTTACTACTAGCTAATGGTAACATTCCGGAATCGAAGCATGTTACAAAATTATTTTTAGAACAATAGTTGTAGCAAATTTTATTCTTAACAAAATTGCTCTCTTCTATTGTTGCTCTTAGATGCGTCAATATTGAGAAAAATACGAAAATTTGAAAATTTGATGAATTTCGTTATTTTACAAATAGCTAATGGTAACATTTGGAAATCGGAGCATGTTATCAAAAAACTTTTAGAATAAAAGTTGTTGCAAAATTTATTCTTAACAATATTGCTCTCTTGTATTTTTGCTCTTAGATGCGTCAATATTGAGAAAAATACATAAATATGAAAATTTGACGAATTTTTTTGTTTTACTAGTGTTAATGGTAGCATTTGGGAATCGGAGCATGTTATCAAAAAACTTTTGTAACAAAAGTTGTAGCAAATT